TTTTTTTTTTTTTGCTTACCACGACTTAGGCATTGCATCGATTCTGCGGTTTTTCCGATTCGAGATGTAAAACTCGAGATTGTGTATAAAATATCGAGGAATCTGTTTATTTCGAAATCGTAATTCGAAGAATTATTTCGAATCGTTATATTATTTACGATGAAATTTTTTTTAATTTGTTGAAAAAATAAAACAAACTTTTAAATATTTGATCCTCGAGCATCGAATATTTTTGTAAGTCGTAAGAATATAGATAATTTAATTAATTTAAAAAATTCCATTTTATTATTCACTTTTGTTGCAGTTTACTATATATATATATATATTTAAATTGATCCATTTTGCGTACTTCTCAATTTAAATTTCACATACAAATATGTATTTCCACCAAATATTTATATATTCCCTAATTTGCATTATTATGATTTCACCAACTCGAAATTCTCGTGTATATAAACATCAGATACATTATTATACTATAGATATATTATTATAAATGGAATATTTTAAATTATTTTACTATTTCCATATCTCATTTAAACAAAGTTCCTGTAAAAAACGAATGCGTTTGATATAAAATTTGAATTATGATTTTTACGATAATCATTTTCGTTTTATTTTAAAACTCGCGCTTTTTCTTGCTACACGCGTGCACTCTCGCGGTCAACATTTGCGTTAACTAAGGCCCAGTCTCCATATTACGTAGCAGTTTTGTCAATTTTTTTAAATAAAAAATTAACGTTTACACAAATGTATTAACAAATCTCTAAATATACCTACCAAATCATTACGAGGTCAGCATTTCAATTTCTAATTTGTAATAAAGAAAAAAATTAATATATTTTCACTTTGCGACGCCTGTGACAGGAAATTATAGGTTAAGAATACTAGATCGAAATTCCAGATTTCTAAATATAATAAATAAATCTACCAGAGATTACGAATCAGGTAACGTCACTATTTCAATTTTCAATTTAAAAAAAAAAAAGAAAGATTAATGTATCTCACATTTGCATCATCTACATAACAGAGATTTAACCAGATTAGAGTCAAAGTGAATTTCAAAGTGAACTTCGCGTCACGGTTACGATTTACGATTGCTCGCACACGAGTCCGAGAATATAGATCACAGATTCTTATTCACAGGGAAAATCCATGATTTTCCACGAGACCGGGCTCGATTCGATTACGAAGCAAAGTATCGTCTTTCGTTCGTGAAACTGAAATATGACAGTCGACACACGTCCATTTAGATTCAGGTCCATTTCTCACGCCGATTAGACGTCGATTGTCGTGTTCCACGGATTCTGTATAATCGTGAACGACGGTATTTTGACCAGATCGACTATCGACTTTGCTCCAAGAAGCGTTACGTACCGGCACATTTATCGAACAGACAAGCTATACACAGTTTCGCTACGTTGCTTACACAACCGATCCTTTATACCAGTTTGCGAAGAACCGCGTCTGGAAACGTTGAAACTCTAAAATTGGATCTCCGCGGTTTGGGCTGTATTCGAATTCCGGGATTAATTCGATTCGATTAGCCGAAACTCTTTCGTGGCTGATCTCATTCCTCTCGTGGGCATAGGTTTGGTTATTTATACCAATTATGAAATCCGTAGTCAGGATAGCTAATTATATTATTTTAGATAATCTTATTTTATGTATTTCGATGTAGTCTTTTCCAAATCTATGAAGTGAATAGTACCGATTATCAAGCTTTTAAATTTCAATCGTCAATTTCTGAAGTATTGTACGTGTTATATTGGTCGTCTGTAATGCAACCTTAAACCGATTTCTTTTGGAATTAAACTTCCTAAAATGTTCCTCGAATTCAAAGAGTAATTTATTTTTATACGGACTCTTTTATATAAAATCAATTCTCGATAAAATAAATTGCAGTGCTATATCTATAAATAAATACATTTATTTTTACTTCTTCTCTTTATTTTAAGGATTTTTTCGAAGTCTTGAGCCTTCGAATCTGCTTACGCGTGTGACCCACATTATTTATCGCGATAAATGATATCGTAATCGAGGTTAATACACCATGATTACGTTCGAACATTATTAT